AAGCAGAACACTAGCTAAAAGCTACGACAAGGAGAACACTAGCTAAAAGCTACAAGAAGCAGAACACTAGCTAAATGCTACAAGAAGCTGAGCACTAGTTAAAAGCTACGACAAGCAGAACACTAGCTAAAAACTACAAGAAGCTGAACACTAAGTAAAAGTTAAAATAAGCAGAACACTAGCTAAAAGCTACAAGAAGCAGAACACTAGCTAAATGCTACAAGAAGCAGAACACTAGCTAAATGCTACAAGAAGCTGAGCACTAAGTAAAAGTTAAAATAAGCAGAACACTAGCTAAACAAAAAGTAGAAAAACAGCTAAAGTGATAAGTAGCAAATGTAGGAAAAGGCTAAATTAAAGCTAAAAGTTGCAAAATATTAGATGGATGGTAAAAGCAGCAAAACGTTAATTAAACTAAAAGCTACATGTAGCCAATGGGTAAGCTAAAAGTAGCAGAAAAGTGGTTTCAAGCTAAATGTAGCAAAATGTTAGCCAGAAGAGACAAAGACAGGAGGACTCCCTGAGGACAGGATCAGGGTCTTACCTGGATCAGGGTCTGCCTCTCGGCCTTTGGCAGGTTCTTCGCCTGGCGGTCGGCCTCTTCCCACTCCTTTCGTACCTGGATTATGAGCCGCAGAGAGGAAGACGTCAGAGATTTACTGCAGGATCTCAGTCAGAAACCTCATTAAGTGCGACATGAGTCCTAATTGAACACATTTTCTGAAAATGTTTCTGCCTCTGTTAGCAAAATATGTCAAACTATCTCTTTAACTCATGTCAGTTTTACGGTTATTAACCTAAAATGTGGTGAGGTAGTAGCTGAGACTGATCAAATCACATATTCTGAGTGATAACTAAATCTTGTTTAAAAGGTCAAGATTAACTATTTGGAGAGTGTTTGTCTGTTAGCAAAATATCTAATGAACCACATGACGGATTTTAATGAATGTTTCAGGAAAAAATCATTAGATGTTCATCTACAATTTATTAAATCTTAGAGCCAACCCAATTAAAGATGGCCGCCAAAGCCAAATGACCTTAGAAATCACAAAAATGGCTCTAATTCAGTCAATTTTACAGATATTGAGCTAAGATTTGACGTGGTAGTAGCTGAGAGTCATGCCCAACAAAACAACTTTTTGTCTAAAACTAACAGCTGTATACACTCCTTAAAGGAAACTTTTCCTTTTGTTCTCACATAAACATATATTTCTGCTGCTCTGAAGTTTCACCAAACTCTTCCCAGAATGCATCGGGCCTACGGGGATACCCACCCGCTCCATGCGGTTCCGGTGTCGGATCTCCAGCTGCTCCTTGGCTCTCTGGAAGCGGCTGTGCTCCTTGTCGTCGGCGGGAGTCTCGAAGTAGATGTCCACGTCGTCGGTGGGCTGAGGAGTCGGAGGCACAGCTGAAGAAACAAACAAACAAACAAACAAACAAAACAGAGGAAGATGAATGAAACGACAAAGACGAGCGAGGAAACAACGAGCCGAAGGAGGAAACCGATAGGAGCCGAACCACAGACGGATAAATCTGACAGCTTTCTGTTTGAGCTCCCCTTCGTCGTCGCATCCAGCTCGCGTCTCGGCCACTAACTTCTGACAGTTCGGCTCGTTTCGGGGCTCCGTCACCGAGGACCCGCCAAACGCATCGCCCCAAACGGAAACGCCGCAGCAGGAGGCGAAGTCAGCGCCCCACGCCCGTCAACAAGTGCCTGCTCAACAATGCTCTCTTTTTTTTTTAAATAACGAGATAAGTCTGAGAGTTTCAGGCCGTGAACCGTGTTCGGCCACGACGAGCTGATGGCACACAGAAAACTGGATGTTCATGTTAGCATGCATGGAAAAAAGGTTTAGCTCGTTTTACATAAACTTTGTATCTCAACTAGAATCTCAACACTCAGACTAACGTTTTATGAGGCGTCATTTCAAATATATCTAAAAAAATAAAATCCAAAATGTGCTTGGTAATAAATTTTGGTGCTTTGTTTGAAGAGTTGCACAAAAAATAGTTAAAATAAAAAAGTCAAAATCATCTAACAGGATCTTTAGAATTGAGATCAAAACGCTGATTCAGCGTCGGTTCGGCTGTTTCCTGCTTTTCATTTTTCTCTAAGTTTTGCATTTTGACTTCTTCCGCACACTTTATATTTTAGCTGTTCATGGATCAAAACTTTCGGCTCATTTAGAAAATAACTCCTTTGACTTTTATCTTTTGTAACTTTTATACTTAAAAAAAATTAACTTTATTTACAGACATTTTCCCCCAAAGAAAAACATTTAAATCTTTTTTAAAAAGTTGTTCTAGCTGAAATCCACTTTAGCTTCTAGCTGTACTTTTATCTTATGAACCTTTTCATTAGCTTTTTGCTAACTTTACCTTTTAGCTAATGTTCTGCTACTTTTAGCTTCTAGATAGTTACCTTCTGTTTTGACACGTTCACCTTTCAGCTACTCTTTTGATAATTTAGCTTTTAACAAGCATTTTGGTTCATTTAGTTATTAGCCTTTTACAACCTTTAGCTTTCAGCTAATGTTTAGCTAGGGGTTTGCTTCTTTTAGCTTTTAGCAAGCCTTTTACTTACCGGTAATTTTTTACAAATGCTTTTAACTAATGTTTTGAGTGCTTCAGCTGTCATTTTTCCGCTGTTAACTTTTAAGTATTTTGATATTTTTACTCTTACCTACACTTTTGCTACTTTTAGCTAGCCTTTTGTCATTTTTAGCTTGTAGCTAGCACTTTGCTATGATGAGCTTTCACCTACTGTTTCACTACTTTTACCTTTTAGATAGCATTTAGCTACATTTAGTTTTAGCATTTTGCTTTTTCCAGTTTTAGCTTCTCCATCGAAGTTCAGCGCTCGCTGAACCGTTTGATTTGAATATTTTTACACAAAATGTAAAATGAAGAACTGAATGCTGCTGTGATGCTTGTGATGAAATGATGGCAGCTGAAGTTTTTGTTCCCATGAGGTCCTGCCGGGTTTTCGGCCGACAGACAGAGGACAGGGTTCAGTCGCCCGGGTCTCGGGTCGCCTCAGACTTACTCAGGCGTTTGCACACGGCCATGCAGTACTCCTCCGAGTCGAAATTGTTGCGGTTGCCGGCGCAGCCCCCGTACGTGAAGCGCACGCACTTCCTCTGGTCCATGTCGAAGTGCCAGCGGGGCATGGAGGCCCGGCAGGGGCCCGTCTCTGCCTCCAGGGTGCACACCGCTGCCAGGGGGAGGGGGGGGGACAGCTCGTTAGATCAGCCGGGCCTCAGCAGGACCAGAACTTAAACCCAGTCTCAGTTATCCAAAAACCACAGTACTGTGTGATGAAACAAAATGCTGCAGCTGTCTGATGACTAAACAATGACGATGATGATGATGAAGGACCGCATGAGCTCAAATTAAAGGAACATTTCAAACCTTTTACTTCCTCTAAAATCTTGTCCTCGTCGACCTTCTCTGACACTTTACTGCTCGGTCTCTTCTCGTCCTCGTCCTCCCGATCTGCCTCCTCGTCCTCGTACACATAGTGGTACTCCTCCTCATCCTCCTCCTCTTCCTCCTCTTCACCTTCGTCCACCGGCTCCTCCGTCTGAGTGGGCTGCTCATCGGGTGGTGTCTCACTGAGAAGGAGTCACAAAAACTTTATTTAACGCGGCTTGTTTACAAAAACACAAGCTTCAGTCAGAGACCAAAACTAAACAAAATGCGGCAGCAGCTGTTTGGCGCCGTGACTTCCTGTTTTTATTATAATTTAATGTTCAGGCTTGCCAGTACACAGCGCGGACGATCATGTAACTTCTCCTCTGTGTTTATATATTTGTCAAAATATCTCATAAACCAAACGTTAGGTTTTAATGAAACACTCGGATACAAATCACCCGATGAACAACTACAACTGAATAATTATTGGGGTCAACCCAATTCAAGATGGCCGCCACAGCTATGCGACAACACAAACACGTCCACAACTCTGTCATTTTTACAGATACTGAGCTAAAGTTTGGTTTGGTAGTAGCCGAGAGTCTTTCCTAACTTATATTTAGAGCATTAACAAATCGCACCAGATCTTTTAGTGAATATGGACGCAGAAGTCAGGCGGGCGATATGCATTCCTTTAGGAGACGCTACTTTTTCATGTTTATCAGAAACTAAAAACTGATTTAATTCCCCGTAGCTAAATTTGAGAAGAACATAAAAATGATGTGAACAACTCAGATTATTTGGAGTGTTTGTCTACCATACTTTCCGCCGTACATGTTGCACCGCCCGATAAGTCACATCAGTCCAAATATGTCTAATAAAGTGGACAAATCCATAAATATGTCGCTTCGCCGTATAAGTTGCAGGGCATGCAAATTATGCAAAAAAAAACAAAAAAACAAAATGCAACTTGTAGGCTGAAAAATATGGTAATTGTAATTACTATCTTTAATTAAAGTATAATTCTGGAAGAAATGCTTATCGCCCATCAAAGTTTTAAATAAAAGTCGCACAGTAGAATTTTTGATGGGGATGACTCTCAGATACCACCACACCAACTTTTAGCTCAATACCTGCAAAACTGTCTGAGTTGTAGCCATTTTTGTGTTTGGTAAGGTTGACTAGCCGTTGCCACCATCTTGAATTGGGACGACTCTGAAGGCTCGTTCATGAAACACCTAAAACCAGGTTTTAGACGCCTTCCGTTCGCCTCGGTGTGATTTCTGAACAAACCGAAGCGGCAAGGGAAAGAAGTCAGCCCACCCTGACGCGTCATTATGCTGCCAAGTGAGGTAGTAACAGAGCGGAAACAGTCGACATGTGAAAAGGGAAGCCACAGCCAGTGCTAAATAATCTGATGAAGTGATGATTTACGGATTGTGTGACCAACTGAACATGGGATTAAACAACAAACGGAGGGAAGAGCAACTTTGTGTTTTGTTTAAAAACGTAATTAACCATCAAGAAAATTGCTAAACAGAGTTAATTCATCACATCTTAATGATAGGTCACACATGAGCTGAGCTCCACATCGAGCCGGCTGAGTTCTGCTCCGCCTCTTTTGGTTCCGCTGTACTTGCTTCATTTCTGAAAACTCACGTCTGTGTAGGACATGGATCCATTGGTGGTTTATTAACGGAGAGAGGCAGCATAAAGACGGACTGGATCGGTTTCATGAAAATGTTTCATGTTACCATCAGTCGACTGGATCAAGATATTTTGCTGACAGACATTCAAACACACTGACAATAACATGATCGCCTGCCTTTACAGCACTTTTAGTAATAATTTCTAAAATACGCGGATGATTGGGATGAATCTGAACGCAACTGCAGCGTCTCACCTGTCCTCCACAGCCTCGTCTTCCCCCAGGTCCACCTCCTCGTCCTCCATCTGCTCCTCTTCGTCGTCCTCCTGGGAGGTCAGGGAGGGCGGGGTGGGTGAGGGGGACTCCTTGGAGCGGGAGGCGGGGCAGCAGACGTACTCGGTGCCGTGGAACTTGTCGATGCCGCAGGGCAGCAGCATGCCGTAGCTGTGCAGCACCATGGTGCTCCGGGAACAGGCCTGGGGGAGGAGAGGGGGGTGTAGGGGGGAGACAGGCGACAGGTCTGATCAACACCGTGTGGGACTTAAGAATAAATGCAGCGCTCAGTTTGACATCTGTCAAGGGGAGCTGTGTACAGCTACACACATCTCCCTCTGTAAAGAGCAGACTTCTTCCACCATTACAAGAATCTTTAGGTTAGTTTAAAAATGATATTTAGAGTCGAGTTTAAAATTAAATAAAATGTTTGTATTCCACCTTTTTGAAGCTAAACAAAGAGCCGGTCAGTTAAATCCATCCAGTCTCATTTTTAAAACTTGCTGTAAGCTCTAAATCTGATCCGTCTCGGTCTTCATGTTAGTGGTCGGTCTTTGTTGCTTCCCTCACCGAAGGTCACAAACTCTTGAAAAGAGCGAGATCGTGGAGACAGACGGTGGAAATACGTTCTCTGGACTCGCCCTTAAAGACAGGGTGAGAAGTTCAGATATCCGAGAGTAGAGCCGCTGATCCTCCACATCCAGAGGAGCCAGTTGAGGTGGTTCAGCCATCTGGTAAGGATGCTGCGTGGGCACCTCCCTGCTCGAGCTGCTGCCACCAAGAACTGACTCTAGACCAGGACTAGTCCAGTAAATGTCTCGGGGGTCACAGTTACTGAAAGCCAAGAGCGCAGGGGCTGGACATCCAGCAGTTATTGTTTGTTTTATGGTTTAAAATCCAACAATTGTCAGTCGGGTCATCTGGACAGTTTCAGCACCAAAAAAAAAAAAAAAAAAACTGTCCAGTATTGTATACTTGGATTATTGAGCATGGACTTTGTTGGTTTTGAACCAGTTTGACATGACTGTTGAGGAAGAGGGCCGGCACTGGAGGAGGGGGCGTGCCAAAGAAACCATCTTAGCACCAACATAACTGGTTTGTTCCACTTTGGAGTAAGCTGTTTGGGGGGAGAATCAGTTTTGTGTTGTGTGTTTCCTTGACTGATGAAGCCTTCTGGATGGAAGATGAAACATTTCAGCACCAAAAAAAAAAAGAAACTATCCAGATGACCTGACTGAAAATTGTTGGATTGTATACCTGGATTATTGAGCATGGACTTTGTTGGTTTAAAATCTAGTTTTATTTAAAAATGAACCCACTGGTGGGCTGAACTGGGCTCACCTGAGGGCCTGATTTGGCCCCCGGGCCACCAGTTGAATAGCCCTGCTCTAGAAGAAGCAGCGGACGGAAGGAATCTGTAAAAGTACCTGAACACTACTTGTGTTATTTCTGTTTTTGTTTAACCTTCACAACACCACTGGGTTTGAAAATGTCGGATAAAAAAAACTTTTAGCTCCTTTTATCAAACAAAGCTGTTACTGAATAATCTAAACGTTATTTAAGGGCTGAAGTTATTTAAGCTTCATAACAAACTGTTCATATCCAAAGTCCACGTTAATTTGACCAGTACGTAGACAGAGCCATCAATATCCAGCCTACGAGTCATTCGTCACATTTCCATAAAGCCCCTGAAGTGACCCGACGTGGTTTCAGTCTCCAGCGGAGCAGCCGAGGATTAACCGAAGAGATGTTGACAGAAAAAACAAACTGTTGTCATGTTTGAAACAACGTGTTGTTGTCTCTTCTGGGATGTGGAGGCGTAGAAGAAAAGTTTGGAGGTGATGAGAGCAGCCGTCTGATGAGAGCTTCTGCTCTTACCGTCACGGTCAGAGCGGTCTCTGAGGCCCGATCGGGACCCGCCGGAGGGGAGAGGGATTAACTGTGTTACAGCCGCAACACTGATCTGATTAGTAGCCGAAACGTTGGCGCTCCCAGTCTGCCTGAGATCAGAGGGCCTCTGAGACTCAAACAGTGAGGTGGAACCGTATTTAAGAAGGAATACTGAGAACTAAAGGACAGAAATTAGATAAAAAAATAATTTTTTAGTGCTTGAGAGACGGTTTCTGACTCCCTGAACTCAAAATCTGAGAAAAACCTCAACTGTATCGTTGCGTTTGTTATTTTTTATATCTCAGTCAGTGAATCCCACCTTCTCATCTCGTTCTCCACTGAAGCCTAAAAACTAATCCACTTTAATAACATTTATTTTTTTTCAAAAGGTTTTTAATATCGTGCAGATAAACTTATCTCGGTCTAGATTAAACAAAGCTCTGAAATAATCCAGTTCTATAAAGTATATTATTATTATTACTCTACAAAAGGCCGATCTGCACAAGTCAGTTCAGTTTATTTATAAAGCTCCGTCACAACAGAAGTCCTCTCAGGGCACTGAACAGAAACATTCCAATATAAAAACAATAAGTTAACACAGACAGGAGGTGTCATAAACATCAGATGGTGCTGCATTCACTGCCTTCGAAAAAAGACGACAACTCGTTTCACCTCCTGAAAATAAACGGTGCAGAAAATGCCTCTGAACGTGTTTCATGACGAGGTTTCTGCGCTGGAATCCAGTCAAAGCTAAAGTTTTTACCACCGACTTCAGGAGATAAAACCTGCATCAACAAACTGGCTCTATTTTTGTCTTCCTGTGCTACTTTTAGCTTCTAGCTAGCCTTTTTGTACTTTTCGCTTCTGGAAAGATTTTTATTACATTAAGTTTTAGCTAGCCTTTTGGTACTTTTAGCTAGCCTTTGTTGCCTTTAGCTCGCAGCTATCTTACTGATCCATTTAGCTTTGAGATGGGCTTTTGCCTTTTTTAATTTGTAGCTACTCTTTTACTGCAGTTAGTTTGGTGATAGCGTTTTGTTTAGCTTTTAGCTAGGTTGGCTTCCTTTTACGTTTAGATAACTTTTTTCTAACTTTTAGTTTGAAGCTAGCCTTTTGCCACTTTTAGCTCCTACACAGCTTTTGATCATTTTAGTTTGTAGCTAAAAATAGCCACATTTACTATTTAGCTAGCCTTTTCGTACATTTAGCTTTTAGATATCCTTTTGTAAATTTAATGTTTTAGCTATTTTTACTGAATTTGACTTTTAGTTAGTGTTACTTTTAGTTAATAGCTAGCTTCTAGCTTTAGCTGACCTTTTACTACTTTTAGCTGCTAGCTAGCCATTTGACACTTTTGTTTCTAGCTAGACTTTTGAGACTTTAGCTTTTAGCTAGCTCTGATACTTTTTGTTTCTAGCTAGCTTTTCTAATACATTTAGCTTGAAGATAGTATTTTGCTATTTTTACCTTTCAAGTCACCCAACTTTTAGCTTTTCATAAATGTGTTGCTAATTTTAGTTGATAGCTAGCCTTTGATACAACTAGCTAGCCTTTTTCTACTTTGGATTTTAGCTAGCCTTTGGCTAATTTAAGCAGCCCTTTGCCAATTTTAACTTCTAGTTAGCCTTTTTCTACTTTTAGCTTTTAAGCTATCATACTGCTACTTTTCACATTTAGTTAAGGTGTTGCTACTTTAAGCTCTCAGCTAGTTTTCAGCTTCTTTAAGCGTTACCAGCTCAGTTTCAGCTTTTATTCAACATGTCAGCAGTCCTTCGGCTCTCAGTGATTCAGAGAGATGCTCGTTCTTTGGTTTGTGAAAGTTAAGCTCCTGACTTCCTCCTCTAATCTCCTCAGCAGATCTCTGACAAACATCCTCCTTCTCCTTCACAGCCGAAGTAATTCCTTCAGTACCTCTTTGGCCACATGGTGCCACTGCTGATGGCTGACGCACATGTCCATCTGCTCTTTGTGGAAGAACTTGCACTTCTCTGGAACCAGGAGGACGTCGCTCACAAACTCTCCCACTGCAGGAAGAAGAAAAAAAAAAATCACATGAAGCAAAACGTCTGACGGTTCGAGCCCCGATCTGTCCCCAACCCCGAAAATAAAAATCACTCGTTTACGACACCCCCGGGGACGGAGGCAATAAATCATCCGAAGGGACTAAAAAGGGAACGGCAGATGAGACGAGCAGAAAAAGACTCAATAATTCATAACTGCCGGGCCCTTTACATTTCGCCGAGAGCGAGGTCTAACACTCGCACCTGCGACATCGACCAGAACTAAAGGAGATAATCCGTCCGGTTCAGCTGCACCTGCAACCAAAGCAGCAGCTGAGAAAACCCCGTCTCACTCGGCGAGTCTTTCTGAGGACGGCAGAACTCTTCCTGCGCCTCAATGGCGTCGGTTTGTCCTAATGATTTCAGTTCATTCATGCTTTATTCAGAGAGCAGATCTGCAGGAAGTGAAGGGCTTGAAAGACTTCTCGAGTAGTTCCCGGCTAAGATCCGTTCAAATTTAAATCTGAAGTCACGACGCAGCCGGGGCGAGCTGCTCTGACGGAAGGAATGCATATCGCCCGCCGCCTTCCATGCCAGTTTTAGAGGATTTTTAACACTCGGCACAGTCTCAGGCGATATCTCAAAATGCTGCACTCAAAGTATGTGTTGGGGATGACTTTCGGCTACTACCACCACATTTTAGCCCAATGTCTGTAAAACTGACGGTCATGCCTGTTATTGTATTAGCTGTGGCGGCCATCTTAATTTGCACTGACTCCATAGACGCACATGAAATCATTATTTCCTGAATGTTTCATTCAAGTTCGTCCAGTGGTTCATGAGATATTTTGCTAACAGACAAACAGGGCAAACTCCAACATTTAATGCTAAAGTTTTCAGCAAAGCTCTTGTACAACGAGTAGCACTCGTGCATGACTCTCAGCTACTACCACAGCTGATGTTGGGTCACGAACTCTAAATCCGACTGAATTTCAGCCATTCTTGTGTTTTCTAAGCTCAGCTGGCTGTGGCGGCCATCTTTAATTGGGTTGGTTTCCTGGAGGTCAACAGTTGTGCATGTACACCCAGTGATTATTTCTGAGAGTTTCTTTAAAATCCATCCAGTGGTATTTCAATAAAACACACAAAAACCTTTTTATCCGCCTTGGCCTTTTGTGGTCTTTTACTGGATGGGACGTTCAGAGCGGCTAAGGAGCGAGTTTGCCTGAAAACACAAATGAGGGTTTCATGACGGAGGTTGGGAGCAGCGATCTGACGGATCACGGTGCTGAAGGAACCGGGAGGCGAGGCGGGAGGGTGGAGGGAGACATGGCAGTGTTTTGGAAAATGAGAGGGTAGGACAGGAAGAGGAGAGAGCTGGAAATAGCAGAGGGCTCAACAGCTGCTTCTCATCTCCGCCTGGGAGGTAAAGGAACAGTAGCAGACAACCAAACCCCCCAATAGACCCCTTCAGAACTGATACCAGTGTGTGTATTTCAGAACCATTAACTTTAATGGTCAACCAACAGTTTTATTGCTGCACAGATTAGACGAAGCTTTAAATAGAGGTTAAATCAATAAAATGTGGTATTTTTTTACTTTAAAAGCAGCCAAACGACACGTTAAAAACTTGAATGGATTTCCAACAAGGTGACAAGCTGACTCTGCCGGGTCTCCGGTCCTGTTTGTGATGTTCGTGTCTGATTTGGGAACCTCGGGTTCTCGTATCTTGCTTTATGTGGACATGGTTCTGTTGGTGCTGTCGAGCCATGACCTTGCACTGGGGCGGTTCACAGCTGGGGAGTCAGCTTCTCTAAATCCGAGGTCACGGTTCTCAACCAGAAATGGGTGGAATACCCCCTCAGCATCAGAGGAGTGTTTGTCTCAGGAAGGAGTTTAGGTATCAGAGTGTTTTGTTCACAAATGATGGTAGGACGGTGTGGGAGATGGATAGACTGTTCACGGCCTCATCCTCAGTAATGAGGGTGTTGCTTTGGTTGATCGTGGTGAAGTAAGAGTTGAGTCAACAGACAAAGGTCTCAATTTACTGGTCCGTCTACCTTCCAACCTACGATCACAAGATTTGGATCATGACCTAAAGATTGAGATATCTCACAAACAGCTTCCTTCTGCGATCAGCTTTAGAGATAGGATGAGGAGCTCCATCATCTGGGGGGAGCTCAGAGTACAGCTACTGCTCCTCTGCATCAAAAGGAGTCAATTGAGTAGAGGTGGTTCCATCAGCAGGTTGGGATGCCTCCTGGATGCCTTCCTTTGCAGGTTTTCCCACTGGGACGAGGCCCCAGTACAGACCCAGAACTCGCTGGAAGGATTATATATCCTCTCTGGCCTGGTAAGATCTTGGGACTCCCCAGGAGGAGCTGGAGAGTTTCACTGGGGAGAGGGAGGTCTGAGTTTCCTCCCTGGGCCTGATACCTCTGTGACCCGACTACAGATAAGCGGTAGAAGACTGAGATGGATACTAACATGGTTCAAACAATATTTAAAAAGTTAATAGTTTCCCCCAAAACACAAATGTCAAAGTTCTTAGCAAGTTTTGGACAATTTTTGACATCAGACATTACTGTGATTTTATTTACGTGTGCGCACAGTGAACAAACATACAAAACTTGTTTTTCCCACTTTTAGCAGTTATCCACTGAGACATCATCCATTTCCTTCCACTTATTCGATGTAGAATCAAGGAGGAAAAGCCTGAGCCCCTCTTCCCCAGTGATACACTTCAGCTCCTCTTGGGGACTCGGGTGTCCGCAGGCCAGAGAGGATCTATAATCCTATAAACAGGTTCAGGGTCTTCATCAGAGTCTCCTCCCAGTGGGTCATACCTGGAAAACCTCCGGATGGAGGCGCTCAAGAAGCATCGTAATAAGATGACAGAACTGTCTCGGCTGATTCTTTTTGTGGAGGAGAAGAACCGGCTCTACTCCAAGCATGACTTCTAAGGATGAGCCCGGTCAGCCTACGGAAGAAACTCGTTTCAGCCGCTGGGATCTTGGTCTTTCTGTCACGTTTCCTCGAGACCATATGCAACGGTTGAAACATAGACAGACAGGTAGACCAAGAGCTTAGCTCAGCTCTTTCTTCATGAAAATTCATTTAAATTCAATTCAGTTTATTTATATAGCGCCAAGTCCCAACAGAAGTCGTCTCAGAGTATAAATACATTCACATACAATATAAAAGCCAGTAAATAAAAGTTATCTAAGGAAGCCAGCAGATTGCGTTGAATCTTCACTTCATCACAGTCTCCCATCCTGAGTAAGAACAAAGGCAACAGTGGAAAGGAAAAACTCCCTTTTAACAGAAAGAACCCTCCAGCAGAACCAGGCTCAGGACAAGCAGCTATCTGCTTCGACCAGCTGGGGCTTGAGAGGACAGGAAGCAGAGACAAACAAACCCAGAATGGCAGGTCCAGGTGACCAGACCAGAGCAACGCCCTCAATACTGTGGACAAGGTCCTGATCCATTAGTCCACCTCTCACTCTACCCTGCCATCAATTGTAAACAAGAATCCAAAAAACTCAATTCAACCTTTAGATAAATGGTTTTTGCCAAAACTTTGGATCACCAACCCGTTATGCTAATTTTTAATAATTCTTTAAATTATTGTCCTTGTCCAGGAATGCTAGCCCAAATTTATTAACCAAATTCTAACTTCAATGAGTAGATTACAGTAACAGATTACTTTAAATCATCACCTGTTAAGGCAGGTACAAAAACCAGCAGGCAGCTCTTAATTCCCAAATATTTTGGAAACAAAGTAATCAAAATTGCAAACGTACAGCATGGCAAAGAACTGAAGTAAACAGCAGCTGTTTGTGCATTCTCAATAACGGAAAATCAAAAATCCTGATGGCTAAGATATAAAGAAAGAAAGAAAAAAGATGATCTCTCCCTCAAACGCTCCAAGTCCAATATGTTTTTTACTCAGCACAGACACTCACCATTTCTTTTCTGCCAACCCCGTCTGTTAACACCCTAAGATTTCTTTGAGGATTTTGAGCTGAAACCATCTTCAGTCGCACTGCAGTGAGATGATGGATGGATGGTGGCGGCTTAGAGACCGGCTGAACCTAATTTACTGCAGATGATTTCACACAGTGTGGACGAGGGCACGAATTTCATCAGTCCGTCTGTGACATGCATCTCCTACAAATGTCGAAACTGGAAGAAAGCGTCTTTATATTTAAGAAAGTAGGAACAACATACATGATTTTGCACATTTTGTCACATACTGTACTCGACATATTTGTAGTTCGAACTTGGCGCGATGAAAGTGAAAATAAATAAATAAATAAAATAAAGTTACGACAAAAGAGACAAACTCCTCAAAAAGGGAAACTTCCTGGTCTTTGTTTATATAAACTCTGACTCTTCGTCATCGCTCTCTAAAAGAAACTTAAATAATCTAAAGAAACATCAGATTCTTCTCTATTGTCAGTGTTGTTAGCCGTTGTATCAGCTAACCTCGCTAACAGTATCAACTAAACTTGATAACAACATCAGCTAACATCACCAATAGTAGCAGGTAATTTTGCTAATAGTAACAAATAATCTAACTTAGCTAAAAGTGTCACCTAACTTTGCCAACAGTATCAACTAAGCCTACTAACAGTATCATCAAACTTAGCTAACAGAGTAGCACCTAAACTTGCTAACAGTATCAGAAAACTTGCTAACAGTATCAGCTCGACTTGCTAACAGAACCAACAGATTTAGCTAACAGTATCATCTAACCTT